GTTCTTTGTTTATTGTTGAAATTTATCGCCAACAAGTCACAGACACCTACTGTAAAGAATCCGGCCCATAAATAAAAACTTGAAAAACCCACAATAACTATTTTTCACTTCTGCAATGCGGTATGTAAGAATCTCAATGTACACAAATTACGGTATTACCATAGCTCTTGATATTCGTTTTTTTTTTTAAATCATCAACAATAGTTTATTAAAGCTTACCAAATCTTCTAAAGGGATTTTACTAAATGCAGAAACTCCTAAAATTGGGTCATCCCTAAATAAATCCCATAAAAGGGGTCAGTAAAACTATCCTAACAGCTTTCATTTATACATTGGCTAATTATTGACCAATTATGTAATGCTTCATTCTTCAGATGGGCCGAGCGTGGCCTATAGGTTAGCATACCGAAGATCCACGGTTCGTGTCCCGTTACTATAGGAACACGCTCTGCACTTTGGGACCGTATAAGCATTTTAAAAGTGAGAGTCAAATTCCATTATTCGATTCGAGTTGAATACCCGCCTTCTCTCTAGTATGCCAGTTCAAAATTAGGGACAGCTACCAAAAATAAATAACTCTTGTGTAGCATTGAATTTTCGAAACAAATAAACGCATTAGATGATAGACAAGACTGTATGTAGTAGCAACACGGTCTGGGAACTGTAATTTCAAACTAGATAAATGAATTGATAAAACTCTGCCATACGTTTCAACACGTACTAAGGTCTTTTAGGCACGGCATGGCCGGGTGGTTAGGGCATTTGACTCGCAATCTGCGGGTCGCGGGTTCGAATCCCCGTCCCACCAAACATGCTCGCCATTTCAGCCATGGGGCGTTATAATGTGACGGTCAATCTCACTATTCGTTGGTAAAAGAGTAGCCCAAAAGTTGACGGTGGGTGGTGATGACTAGCTACCTTCCCTCTTTTCTTTCACACTTCAGTCTAGTCTGTTATGGACATGAACTAAAACGCTGTATAGGTAAATTAAAATATTCCGTGAATATGATCGAACACAGAAATATAATTTTAATCATTTTCGCTTCATGGCTTAACGTATTTTAACGAACTCGTAGGCCCCCTAGTGGCATAGCGGTATGTCTGCGGACTTACAACGCTAGAATCCGGGTTTCGATACCCGTGGTGGGCAGAGCACAGATAGCCCATTGTGTAGCTTTGTGCGTAACTTCAAACAAACAAATAAAAACTTTAGGCCCGGCATGGCCAGGTGGTTAGGGAGCTCCACTCGTAATCTGAGGGTCTCGGGTTCGAATCCCGTCACACCAAACATGCCAGCCTTTGCCAGGTCCTAAGTCCAGGATGAGAAAGGTGGAGGGTTGGGCGCGGGGCTAGCAACTCCA